TGAGATGACTTACACAAACAATGCCTTCCTTCTACCCTCCATGCATTCAAGTCTTAATGAGAAAGTATGTTTTCAGCAACCCCATTCCTAACTGTTCCTGTGCCCTAAGTACTTTGCCAGATTCCTCTACCACTCCTTTTTCCTCCCTGATTCCTACTTTTGGCCTATACCGAATACCATTGTTCTTTTCCATTACCCCAGTGGTGGTTCCTACTCAGGAGAAATCTCTTCACTGGTTTACTGTCTCCTCCTGGTTTCAGGGTGTGCTACTGCTGCTTTAACAGGTGCTGCTTCTGCCAGTTCCTCTTGCTTCACTGCCCTCCTCACCTCTGCTCCAGCCCTCATTGGGTCAGTGTTGCTCATTGTGTACAGAGTAATCCCCCACCTTCTGTCCTTCGTCTTTCTCCCTCCCTCGAAGCTGCTCATTTTTCCCTCACATGGTTTTACCAATGGGAGGATATAAAGCACAGTGACATTAGGGAGTGACAGCATTCATCCTCTTTAATTGCTGAATGTGAGAGCTGTCGTTTGTCAGCACACCTATTAAAACCACACTGAAGTGTGGTCAGCTGCCTCATGATCTCAGATGAAAGCAAGTGTGCTGAAACAAACTGGGGTAGGGGCCAAGTGCAGTGCTGGTGAGCTACAGCTGTGAAAGCAAAGGAAGACTGGGGGAAGTTGGAACATCTGCTTCCTTGTTTGTACGTAGCTAAATCCTCGCTCCACTTACCTGTCAAGAAAGTTTGCAAATCCAAACAACTGCACTGAGACAAACTCTTGGAGAAGATGACCCCCTTTTGATCTGTTCGGCAAAACAGCTGCAGCCCCACCTCCACCCTTCTGCAGATTTGTTTTTAAAAGGATTTATGGACATTTAATAACCTCCTGGAAATTACCCTTAGTCAGGATTCAGCCCATTCATTTCAGTTGTCTTTTTTAATAACCTGGAGCTCAACATAATCTGTCTTCTGCTTGTCCCAGAATAGTTTGCTCCTGAAGACAAAGCGGCACGTGTCCACACTGAGCTCTGCTTTCTGTGCTGATCCTGTAGGTGGTGTGCTGTGCAGATGGCCCAGATCTTGCCTTTGCAAATCCCAGAGGGGTCCTGCAAACGGAGCGATGTGACAGGACATGGTCCTGCCCACAGCAGGGCTGTCGCTGCCCTCAGCCCGGGTCTGCCTGGCCGGGTGGGTTGGCTGCTGCTGAAGCGTTGTGGTAGCGCAGTGCCGAGCAGCTGCGTCCGGCTCACCTGGCAAGTGCTGGAGGACATAGCACAGATCAGCTTGCATCAGGTTATCGCGTGAGGTGTAGCATTGGGTGTTTTTGCATCAAAACCGGTTTTCACTTTAATCTGAAGAAAATTCTACGCTGTATTCCAGCCTCTCTCATGAGTCAGAGCTCATGTTACATTGTGCATTAACCTTTATTGTCAGCAATTGTAGCTGAACATCTAGATCTCGAGTCAGAAATACTCAGTTTGACTGCAATATTGTCTGTCAAAATTGACAGTATTGCATTAGGTACTTACAGCAACAGGCTACTGTCCTAAAATTCAGAATGAAATCAAGTATGTTAGTCTGTACCTTCTCGTGTATTGCCATAAGAAAAGCTGTTTCCAATGTATATGAGCCATTTAAACATGAAAATGTGCCCGAGTTTAACAGAGGTTGCTCATAGGATATAGACTATACACCGCTGCAGAATCCCACACAAAAGAGGTGACATTTCTATTGTGGGTTTTTTTTCTTAACTGGAAAGAACTGTCTGGGTTTGTTTGACAACTTTGGGTGTTATTAGTTAGTAACAGCTGCATTCCTGTGAGATGGTATCTATCTCCACCTCCGTTACCTAAGGGGATGAATAGCTGTGCTGTACGGAGCTTGGTTAAAAGCCTCTGCCTCCAACTACCTGCATGTGCGATACCCGTGTGATCCAGAGGGCTGGGACTGAGCTGCTCACTTCTTCTTACAGGACAGAGCTGCTGTTTCAACGTGGGAAATGGCAGAAGGAGGAGGGCAAGCAGAGCAGCAGGCTCAGAAAAAATGCTGATTCTTCATCTTTGGACTTGTTGGGGTTTTTTTATTTCAGCTGCTTTGGCAACAGTTGTAAATACTAATACTTTCCGAATAAAATCTTTGGAACAGAATGGCTAGAACGGAAAGATAAAATCCGAGCAAAGCAGTTGACACTAGTAGCAGGTAAATAAAGAGAGGACTTGCAGCTGGTACATGGAAGCATCCAACCCACAGGGCAGCAGGGGAGCCTGCTGTGTTGCTGACACTGGCCTTGGCATATTCAAATACAGGTACTGCCCCAGCCTGCTTGCTGTGTGATCTGCCCTCACACCACGTTCTGCTGAGCTGGCACTGGGAATTAAAACATAGTGAAGACAGAGATGAGAACTTGAGTGTTTTTACCCTCAAACCAGGCCCTTAGTTCAATGTTTTAAACATTTGTGTTCATCTTGGACAGGAGGAGGTGACACTTTTAGCCTTCAGGTATTTCCTTACTGCTGTGTTGCTGTTTTGGTCCTGTGAAATCTTTAACTGCACTAGGATGATATCCAGTTACCTGTAAGACCTGGTAGCTTTGTAGTTTGCTTCTGCAGAGAACACATCAAGACTTTTCCTAGCACTGGGAATGGAGCATGCTCAGGGTCTCTCCATCAGAATTGGGAAGATAAAATTAGTGTGTTTAGTTGTTATCACCTGTTCAGTTACGTTCCCCCCCCACCTTTTTGCCATGTTTGTGTTAAAAAAGAGAAGCTTGTCTTACACATGAGGTGACCTGAGTGTACATGGGGCTTGTACTCACCTGCTGCCATACTTCCTTTAAATCAATTTATGAAAAGAGAACAAAAATAAGAACATGGCTTCTGCTAAAACAGATTTCATTTGGAAATACAATTCACACAAGTAACATGTTCAAAAGGATGAAGGCTTTCTTTTACATTAGAGCAAAAGGTGTGGCTGTTTTTCTGCTCCCCTTCTGGCTATAGGTACCCCTAGAGAAAACAGGGGTGTCTTCATCAGCACTTTGGCAGATGCTGATGTGACTCTTGGTACTTTACAGTTACTAGTGGCTGTACTGCTCTAGGAAACTCGACTGAATGGTGAACAGCCCTGCTTCTGTGGGAACACACCAAACAAAGTACACACAGTCACTTTGCTATTGTTTTTATTTCCTACCAGAAGAAACTGCTACATTGCCAGAATGTTTAAAAATCGTAACAATTCATATACAGTAGTGAAGAACAGAGTTACAACTTCTGTGTAGATTTAAAACCAACACCACAGGTTGAAATCTGTACTGAGCTCTGATAATTGATTGACTTCGCCTACAAATGCCATTTAGATGATGTTCTAAATACGAAACCAAAAATCTGGTCACTTTAAAAGAAATCCAGTAGCTGTTTTAAAATCAGTTTTTAACTCTGATTTTATTTAAAGGAGTCAGGCTTCTCAAATAATTTTAGGGGGGAAAAAACAATAGTAGCTTTATTTCCCCAGAGATGTAGACAGTTTACAAAACTGCTTAAATTAAACACCAAAACCCATCATCTCTTACGAGTAGATGTTGCTCTAATCTTAAAAAGTCTGTGAACCCTCATAGACCCAAACTGAGCAAACATTTAAAAACCTATTTTAAAAATAGGTAACTGCTTTAAAAAGAAAAATCAGAAATGCATTGGGGTGAGGTAGTAGTCACAGTGCATCCAGAAATACCAACTATAAGGGCTGAGGGGAGATACTTGGAGCAGCTTTTCTGGTTCCCGGTGCCTTCCGTGGGCAGCTATTTTGAGGAACAAGAAAGCTATTTGACTAGTAGCATGGCACCATATGCCAACCTAGAGCTTTTTAGAGTGGCTGCAGTGAATACAGAACATGTACTGCAGTAGCTAGACACATATGCTTGTTCCTGCACTTTAAGGAGTATATACACCTGAAGCTAGACTATAGGTTTAAGGGCAGTACCCACATAAACATACTTCACATGACCCTGTCCCTCTCTCTGTATTGGTTCTATCCCTGCAAGCTTTGACTGTATTTCCAAATGTTTAAGAAATGATACTGTGCCAAGTCACACACAGCTGCTTCTTTATACCCAACACTCCTCTGCCCTGCCAGCGAGGGATGACCTTAACTATTAAAGATCCCTTCTGTCTTGCTAAGGATCAAGCAGAAAGCCCCTAAACCCAGGCACTGCACTTGGAGCTTAACCTCCAAACACCCTTTTCCTGTGCCAGCCTTTGCCTTGCAGGGTATGGCTGCCTGCACACCCCTAGAAGGTACAAGTACGTGCTGTTGGCTGCCCTTTGTGCCTGCAGTTCATACTCCTGGTTAATGGACACCCACCTATGAACCTATACACTGGTCATCTCGGAACTCTAACTCAGCAGCCCATTTGGGTTCTAAAAACACTTCATTCCTCCATGATCACTGAGAGGCTGACAAGTTCAGGTAGGTATCACTGAGTTTCTTACCCCGCCTAGCACCTCTCCAAATGGTAATTCCACAAAAGTTCATCATACCAAGTCCTAGATGAGTCAAGGCCAACTAAAGGAATAGAAAACATTTTTTTTTAAGGTAAGCATAATTATAGTTTAACGCTAAGATACCTACAGTACAGCCTTGTTCTGAGATGGGGCAACCTTTTAAAGAACAAACACACCCCCCACCCCAAGATGTTGGAGGAAGGGGGTGTCCTGTCGAAAATGAGCGCTGCCTCTGGGACCGGGAATGGGAAAAGGCAACTAATTACATTCAAAATCTACAGCAACTCTCATGCATTCCCTTTCCGAAGAGGCTTACTTTTTGCTGCTTAATATACTAGCATGGCAAAAAAATGAAGTGCTAAGAATGAAAACATGATAAGCTTGGTGCAGTCCAAGAACTTCAGTTGAGCTGGTGGAAGAATTTTATCTTAAGTATCAAGTGCATTTATTTTTTGCTGTTCACACTTCAGTTATTGCTCAATAACTATCAAAAAGAACAGAGGAATACTTTCAGTTTAGTTTTATTATATTATAACAGATCTGCAACTACAGCTTATTCCAGCCAAAACATTTTTGTATCCCAAACTCTTAAAAAATATCTACATTAATCATATTTTTCTATTCTGAAAAATAAAAAAAAAAAATCTACCTAGCATTCCAATGCTGCTACAGCACTTGAAAGGGTGCATTACCTATGGAAATTCTACAGTAAATGTAATTACTCTTGCAGTCATTGCTCTTCCTTTCCTTCTTCTGTGCTGCTTTGGCTTCAGGTCTCAAAAAGTTTGTTAAATGCTGTTCCAACTTCTGAAACCATGTCGGAGGCAGTCATTGAACGTCCGAACTTCTGAAAGGCCTGGTGGTTAGACTGCCTCGTGAGAGAGCACGCTCCAAACGCAGCCACCAGAAAGGGATTTTGACTAAAAGGGAAAAACAAGCCAACATCAGAAACAAGATCTGAACACTCCTGTGTAATTCATAAGGTGGTGGATGTAATCTTTGCACCCATAGATGTTTGTCAGCATTGCCGGGAAGGCCTCTTCAGCAAACACCTGTGTTTCTCAGACTCTTGCACTGCACAACACCTTTGCCTGAGTCTCTTTTAACATCTGCTTCCCTTTCCGTAGCACAAACTGTGACTGAGAAACACAACAATGGCCAAAGGATGCAAAAGGAAAACATGCTTAAAAAGAGGGTGAGAAGATGATCCATGTCTAGCTTTACCCATGTGAAAAGTTATCCTTTCCTTCAGAGGGAGACTGAAGTCTCACCTGCCAGCTTTTTAACTCCCTTTCCTCCCCTCTCACTGGGTAACTCAGTCTGGTTTAGATTGTAGGGGGTGGGGGAAAGACAAGAGATGATTTTTAACAGGGCTACAGTCACTGCTCCAGGGCCTTCATTAGATCAGCTTGAAAATGGTACAGTGACAGCTGTAGACTACAATAGAGATTAAGGCACTCTCTTAATGCCTCCTACGTGTTTACAAACTGCCTAAGAGAGTACACCCAGCCCCAGTCCCCCAGTGCTGAACCCTCCCCAGAGAAGACAGCACAGCCCTGCCACCTTCAGAGCACCTTCTCACAGGCTGGGGCCACGGGACCCTTACAGCACCGGCACAGAGGAAATCAACTGCAGAACCATCCAGAGCCAGCCCTGGGCTCCAGCTGCTGCCTGGTGAAAAACCTTGCAAAGCTCAGCCACGCTGGGACACAGCTGCCTCCAAGTCACTAACTCCTGTGCCAAGTAAGAGTTTAATGAAGGATCACAATACAAAACACAGGCAAAACAGCATGTGAGTTTACAATTTGGTGTTACCAGGGCAGCTTTGAATATCTTTTCCTTGAAACCAGCAACTTCATACACTCATCAAGGTGCAGGAGTATTTAAGCCATCTTAAGAGTCAGTCGTGGGTGCCTAAATACTGCTCTTTAACCAGGGCTGTGCACAGGCTTCTCCGCTCAATATGGTTAAAGTGGCTGTTTCTAAGGTTGCTGCATAACCAATCTGAAACACCGTACTCCAAAGACATCACCTTAACACACTGTCTACTTAACAGGAGCATCCTACCTACTATCCTGTTAGCAGCCCTGAAAGCCAGTGCAACGTTAATGTTTCAAAATCCTGCTCTGCCCAGACTCGATCCGAAACAAGAGAGGCAGGCACAGGCATGGAAGGACTGGCTGGGTTGCCTGCAGTGCAGTCTGCAAGCTGATGTCCTGATTCACTGAGCCCCAAAAGCTCCTCCTTTTCCTGAAAAACACAGGACTGGTGTTTGAGAAGGGTCACCTTAACACCACCACCACCACAGGAGGCACAATGCATTGCTGATGCCAATTACACTCCCACTTTTCCTTCATCTATAAAATAAAGGAGTTTCTGAGTGAGCTGCCTGGAAGAACCACAGGAGCCCAAGTCAGAAAGCCTGGAGAACACGTGCTGCGTTTGCTAATCTCTCCAACAATTTAATACTGATCTGTTGTGCACCATGCAAAAATGAAGTCATGCTTTTAATGAAGTGAAACAGAATTCCTCCTCCAGTGGCAGCTGCAATCTCAGATTACAGAAGCAGTCTTGGTTTCATTTTTCATCCTGGTAGATTTCAGAATTTTAAAGTCTGGTTCAACTGGTCCCTCATTCCTCTTGGGGGACACAAGTAACCAACTAGTTGCCTCCCATGCACATCTAACTGTGTGCACCTGCACGTAGCATCCAAAAGACTACCAAAGATCTCCACTCCCCAAGCTTCAGTAACTCATTATTTATTGGGAAGACGGACTGTTACTGCCTATCTGCCTGTGTCAGGGTTCCTTTCCACTTCATTTAAAGCAACTATTTTCACAGAAAGACTGCATGACTGTATGGACCAACTAGTCAGACAGGAATTGACATAATTTAACCACCTGCAGCTGCATGGCTGCTTTATGTATATGACCAAACTGCTATCTGGCCTTCAAATGGTTACCCTCTTTGTATTTTATCTGCAAGCTTCAACTTACCTGCCCCTCTGAATTACTTTAGGTACAGTGCAAGAGGATTCACCAAATTACAAACACAAAGCTAAATGACACATTTTCTGAACTACAGATGTTACTGCCAGTGACTACCACGTATTTACTCTTCATACCTGCTTCCTGCATTCAATTGTTTTGAAAACACATACCCCATACATACTTGTCCTTGGCAGTCTATCCAAGTTCTCATGCTGCTTCTGCACCGAACCTGGGACATGTCAGACTACTGAATAGTTTGTCTTATTAAAATTGTAACTATTATGGAGCCTGCTCTAGAACAGCTTTACATCTTGTAAAAGTACACGGATACCTTAGTCCCAACAACTCCAGTTTGATTTGGGAATGTCTACAGCAGGACTACAACAGCCACCACAGGAGAACAGACTCACAAGAATTAGGAAGTTATTAATATTCATACCCATTTGTTTTTTCTACTCCAGCAAGAAAGGCCCAGTGTGCCAAGACTCCAAGAGAACCAGAAAGGAGGTCCCCCTGTCCGCCGCATCTCCGGTTGCTTCCTTCATGACTGCATACCAGTACTATGAACAGACAAACCAAGAACAAAGTCATGTGCGTTTTTCTTCTATTTCCAGCAGTGTCACTGTAGCTGCAAGGGTTAACCTGAGGCACACAGCGATTTACAAATGAGAGGTTCACTACAGGCAGCAGCATACGCTGGAATACACAATTCTCATAAAAAAAATTGCATAAACATTTTAAAAATAGTTTTCTCATTACTTTTCAATCCCTTACAAACAGCACTGCACAGTGTTTACACTTCCTCCACTTCACTCAGCCTGCAGAGAAGATTCAGTCACTAATGAGTGATTTCACATGAACTGATGCTGCAACAATGAGCAATCCCCCCAGACTGGACCAGGTTCCTCCACAAAGCCATTGCACAAACACAATTCTCCAAAGTCTTTGACCTTCAGAGTTTTCAAATGTAAACCAAGGTGTTTCTACAAAGAGAAAATGCAAAATGGAACTGGAATCTCAAATCTTCTGCCATGCCCACCAGAAAGGCATTTTACTGAAAACAGCCTTTTCCTTAAGCTTTGTAAAAACCAGTGTGAACAGAGATCTCATTTTCTGTCAATCACAGTGTCCTCCGCATCCGTGTATGTTTCTGTCAGCAGTGTCACTGTGGATAGGCTCTGACAGAGTATCAGATGTTACATTTCTATTTTAAATATACAAAGGACCTTGGTCAAACCATCTCTTTGGAGGCTTTAACTATAAACACACAAATGGTTTCACTAAATTTAACTCCTTTGTTCTCTACTCTCCACAAGTCCAAGCTGGAAGCCTGAGGGATACATAAGGTACAACGAAGAAAACAGCCTCAATTCTGCTACCCTTCTCCAAACTCTCTTGTGGGTATGTACCTACCCTCAGCTTTCCTTATTGCTTGGTTCTGAGAATAAAACCAGGAGATATTTATTTTCTTCTCCCAGGAGGGTGGAAGAGGTGGCAGAATCATCGGCATCCAAGGAGTGATCCTTAGCATCTCCAGCCAGCTATTCGGGGTCAGGACTACGCACACCATCATCGTGCACTCCTGAGCATGCCAAGTACACAAGCGGAGTATAAAGCAAGACACTGCTTGGACAACAGCTCTCACCTCAATGCTCTCAAGTCACCTGGGCTGGGTTTCTCTGAGGTATATGAACAGAGCAGCCCATGTAATTTAGAGACAGTACTCTGTCTTTTTAAAAGCAGTTTTTCTCTTACAAAATAAATGGAAAGCTCTGCACAAAACCAAAGGACTTGCAGGTAAATCTTGAGCAAGAGGTAAAAAACTACTTAATGCAAGTAAACCCTTTCCAGTTCATTAGCACAGTTAATTTCTGCTTTTTGTTACTCAGTGCAGCAAAGAATTGTACTTCACTTTCATTTCCTACCAACTCCTCCAGCAGTAATTGCTGAGCTCGCGAGGCCAGGCAGTTGTGCATTTTTGCTGCCACTGAGAGGGCAAAGATTCATTAGTCACCAGGAACACAGCAGACACTGCCGCAGCACTGCCAGCAGTTAATTTTCCCAATCACTCTTCTTCCCTCTCCCCTCCCCCCCAAATTAAGATTCTGGATGTGTTTCTCAGTGAGCAGTAGCTAATGTCAGATTTCACAAGTGTAATGCTCTTCTGAGTCAGGTATCTGAGGAAGGCATGCCCTTTTAGGTAGTGTTTTGGGTTTTTTTAAATACAGTCCTTTGGAGAAATTACCTCTAATTCTGCTACTTTGAAGATGGTATCTCACAGGATTTTCACTTTGAGGGCTTGAACTCCTGGCAGGAGGCAGGATGGAAATCCTCTGTTCAAAAGCTTTGGTGCCTTCTGACTGACAGCTGAGCACAAGCCCCTGCTTATTAGCTGCATGTCACCATCTGCCACTATTCTGTAGCCCCACAACCCTCCAGTCAGTTCTGAGCTGTACAGGAAAGCAAGATCTCCTCAAACTAGGCCAATTATAATAACCCACTACAAAAAAAAAAAAAAAAAAGAAGAAAAAAGAAAAAAGAAGTGGTCTTTTGTTTGTGGGTTGTTTTTTTTTTTTTCCAAAGTAAGTCTCAAATATGTGCAGAATACCTCACAGGCAACAATAAAAGCAGGCCTTTGTACTCCGCACAGAGATGCTGGAAAACAAATCCATGCAATACCTTCAAAGAAGCAGAACTACAGGAAACTCACTTGAACGAGGCGAAAAGGTATTAATGCACAGGCAACTCTTGTGCTCAGTTCCTCAAAGAACATCCCAAAATAAAAGGATGGTGAACATTACAACAGGCAGTGGGAAAAGGAACGAAAACCTCCTCTGAACTACTATCACTATTAAGAGCTTTTCAAAGAAAAGAAGGAATCCCACACTCCCATCAAGACCAACTGGCATACTGCCAGATCTGCAAAGCACAAAGTTTTCCTGATGCTTTTCCCAGCCTTCTCCCAGAACAACAAAAACAAACCTGCTGTCTTCCCACTCCCTCAATCCAACATCCCCCACTAGATGTCTGTGACCTGCTGTGATGACAGCTCAAGCAGTTCTTTAAGGACCATCGGGGTGACGTCCTTACATGCTGCACTGAGCAGTGACAACCAGTGGCAACGTTACAAGACCTCGATTAGATGGACATGACTGAATAGCCAGGGATGATGTCGAGAAGGTGGGCAGATCTATTCCCTGCAGACATGCAGAATGATGTATTTACATGTATTTTTCAGTCCATTGCCCAGTGAAGCTGTACCACGTTTGACTAGGGATGAACACGTACATCAGGAAACCTAGAAAATGTGGTTCTTGGCATAGGTGAGGAGAGCAAGACAATGGAATGCTGGACAACAGGTAAACAGCAAAGACCAAAACCACCACAACCTATCAATACGGAAAGGCAGCAACCAGGGCCACTTAAGGTCAATTAGTCTGACACCAATCCAAACCAAAATAATGGAGAGGTTCATATTAAGTTCAACTGACAGGCCTTAAGAGAGAGAAACATGCAACTAATGCAGCTCAAAACTGGCTGTTGGGGCAGGGTGTCTTGTTTTGGTTTTTAATAGGTATGGGCAACCATATCTGATGTTATGTCACAGGGTGATTAATAAAAAACCCCCAACCAAACACAGTGTAAGTCTTCTAATGAAAACTGATTTATGCTACATAACTTTCTGAAAAGTAAAAACCAAGCCGCTCCCTAGAACTCGTCCATGGAGCACACCTCTACTATCATAAGAAAAAGCTAGACAAAATAAAAATGTCATCATTGAAGTATCACTGAAGTATAGCCAGGATATCTGCTAGAGCCAGGATATCTGCTACAGTCACAGCCCTATACAACAGTTTGAACATAGTCTCAAGCTATTAAACAGCACACGAATATTGCCACAGCCCTACGCAGCAAATACAACATGTCCCTCACATACAGTCACTGGCACTTCTTGCTTGCCTAAGTCCATGGAAACAATCTGTACTGAAGTACGAGTGCCACAGAAACAAAAAATTGAAGGCTATCATACTGACAGACTATGAGAAAGTGAAAGTTCAAGAGTTATAGGCTCCACACAATTCAAAATTCTACCCAGGTTTCCTGGGTAACTACGGCCAAGTAATTTTGTAGCACTATGTTTAACATATTTCAGGCCATAAAGTAAGTTACCATCACTCCCTTTTCAGCACTCCCTGAAGATAAGATTAACATCAGCATTTGGAGAAGCATTCAGACCAAGGTGTTACACTTAACTATACCACCGCCAGCAAGTTTTAAGCTGAAATAACTCCCAGCCCAAACTGTGCTGGCAGATCAAAGCACAGAAGAATGACCCCTTTGCGGGTATTGTATGCTTAATTAAAAGTCTGTTATGTAACTGAAAATAGCTGTCCTTGCTTTAAAGGGGAAAAAAAAAAAATCAGTATTTAGTATTGCTGAGATCAAGCACTACCAGTTAACTGGCAAGCAATAATTCTGATACAGCTTCAGACAAGAGGCCCTACTTACAACACTAGCACCTAGACACACTACAGTTAGAAAACCAAAGGCCTATACAGTATAAAAAGTAACATATGTCTGCGTGTTCTTGTTTCACAGTGTGAAAACAAAACAACCCAGGCACTCCTTTTTTGTGTTTGTATTTAGAACACAGAATGTGAAATATGGGCTAGCTAGTCAACGGTAAACATGTAATACTGATGACAACAAAGAAGGCTAAAGAGTGTATGTGAAATGTCACATTTGCTGAGACTGAAGACCAAAAGACAGCCTGGAGATTAAAATTTAATTCTTGAATCTTGGGCATTCTGAACAAGTTCTCTGCACTTGTTTTCCTCTTACATAGCAGGAGTATTACACTTACCCTAATGTCCTTGGGAATCTGTGTTTTTAAGATATGACCATTCTAACTTCTGGTAACATCCAACTGGATTGGATCACCTACATCACTTATCCCACACAACAAATACTCTTGTTTAATTGAAAGGCTTAAGATTTCCTTTTTCTATGTAAAATAACAAAGCTATCAAAGACCATTTTGCTCCACCAAATGCAAGATTCAGGTTTACACCACTTGCTTAAAAGGTTCTTGAGTAGAATCTTTTACCATTACGTATCTCTGTGATTTGGCATGTACTCAGACTAGTAAGAAATTTATCTTTTTCCTTTTGCAAGTTAGCTCACAAAAACATGTAGCGGGAGACTGTGGACTCCCAGAAACACACACACAAGGAAACCAAGATTAAGGACTCTGGCTGGAGAAATCACTCAACTGATGTGGAAAATGTAAGTTGGCTTTTAAATAAAGGGTGCTTATACTTTAATATTCCCTAATCACACTTTTAAAACTTAGTCAGGTCCTTGAGTGCAAGACACTAGGCAATCTAAGTGAAAAGAAAATGATTCAAATTTTACATTACGTTTCTTAGATAGGTGCAGGAGCCAGCGATGTGATGTGACGACAGGTGAGCAGTGACAGGGAGACAGCAGGCTGGGCTGTGCAGGCAATGGAAAGCACAGTGGCACAATGGGCAGGAGGAACCAAGTCCTCCCTGTTTTTGCTCACTCTGCAGAAGCAGGAGTGGACATGAAGGTGCTGCCTCTCAGTTAAAAATCTAGGCAAAATCTGCTGGGCAGCCAGATACCACAACAGCTTTTAGGCAAGTGAGTCAGGGACTGACAAGCACTGAACAGCTTCCTTTCCAGCTGTATAGGGAATGAACGGCAGAAATCAGAAGTACTGCTTGGGGATTTGGCTTTTTGGCAAGAGTTGGCTTTTCTGCCCCTTATTCAGTACTCCATAAGCTCTCTCAAACGCCGCTTTGCTTTTCTTGACCATAGCTGCAGCTGGGCAACTGCAGAGAAACTATGTTTGGCTACTGGCTCCAGGTAAAAGTAGTCTCAGGCAGCAGTGGCCTGGCTACCCATAGTGCCCGTCTTTTGGAAAGAAGGAGAGAACAAACACAGGTGCTGGGAAAATACAGAAAAATTCATTTTATCATTTAAAACCAAAATTCCAAAAACCTTCAAGGACCTAACCAAATTTTAAACATGTTAGGAACTAAGACTGGTATAACCACACTTTATTATTGACCAGTTCTCCAAAGAATAATAACAAGAAAACCTTAGAGAGCTGTGCCATAGTGAATAAAAGCTGACTTACCTTTTACCCACAGGCTGAGTACTCATTCCTACCCTGGTCAGTGATGGCACTGATATCACCTACCAAGAACATGGTGAAGCTCATCTTTGTAGAGCAGGGAATCAACAACTGTAGGCCAAGCTATAATGTGAAATTGCAAAAGGAAAGAGAAAAAGAGTATATAAAACTTAATTTAAATCTTGGTGATTACGTTTACAGGGCAGTTGGCAGCTCCTAACTGAAATGGAGACAAGTTTTAGGAAAACCTCCTTTACAGTGGAGGACTGCCACAGACTTCACAGAGGCCAGGTATGTGACTCAGTGCTGATTTTAAGGCCGTTAAGGAATCACCTGCATCACCTATTCTGATCTGTAAAACAAAACCTCAAAGATGTCCAGACACTTCACGGCTTGGCAATCTATCAAAGTTCTAGCTATGTTATTGTCATAGCTGATTTCCCTGCCTTACTTTTAATGTGAATTTATTAAGCTTCAGCTTCCAATCGTGTCTGTCGACTTAAGACCACAGAGCTATTTGCCAACAGTAATCCTTCACCAACACCTGTACTTCCAGCTATCAAATCACCTGATAACCTTTTCTGTCTTCAACTAACAGGAGAAAATTGTTTACTGAATTCCCTATAGATTCATGAATAAAAATAACACTACAATCACTCTAAGCTATATTCACCAAGCCAGTCTTCCCTGCATCCTCAAAAAGCCTTCCTTTCACCACAGCCAAGAACAGAACACTAAAGCTACACAGTTAAAAGTTTGCAGTTTCTGGTTTTCCTGGAGAGCATTAAGACTCTTTTTCTTTTTTCTTCCCTCCTTTTCCTCCTTCCCTCCCTTCTTTTTTCCAGAAAGCAGGCATGCAGTATATTCCCAAAAGAGAAAGTTTAAAAATGATACATGGAAACTCCAGTATCAGCATGCTAAGTACATGAGCTCAGGCAGAAAATGTCTGAAAATAGGTACAGCGTAAGCACTACAAACGGATGATGGCATGAAAAATAAAGGCAAGAGGAGTACACAGATTTTTTCATAGTATTTGACTGTGCTCAGAGGACATTAGGCTGATCCAACGATCTGGACTTCCCTCACACTGGAATCATGATGTATGTTGTCTCAGCTGAAAAGAAATTACATCAGATCAAAAGGACAGATGAAAAAAGTTCAGAGCGAAAACCTGGGAGAGAATTCAAGGTCAGTGACAGGACAGCATGTTCTGTGTTGTGGCACAGAGCAGACAGTAGACTCCTTTCTCAACGTGATTTTGCATTTAAGCAGCTTTTAAAAGAAATGACCCACAGTAACTGTCAGACCCAAAGAACATTCTTATTACAAGGAAGATGAAGCCTGTAGTTACTGCAAAATTCTCAGGAACCTTCTTGCAAGCAACATAGCCCCAAAAAGAGTGTTTGTAACAGACATTGTAACCTGTATTAAACCTGCCACCTGCTTCTTTACATCATGCTGCCTGTAAAGTCTGTAATCCAGGAGAGAGAAAGCATCAGTGATAGAACCGAAGTCACAAGAAAACAGCCTACAGCTGGACATCAAACAACTGCTATAAAGGCACAGAACTGTTTCTATTTCAAATAAAAAAGCCACTTAACTAGGAGAAAAAAAGAGATCAGAACACAACAGAGACAAAGAACAAGCTGGGGAAAAAATTAAAAACAATGAAAAGCCACAGAAGAACACAAGACAGACATCAAACTTGTGCTACACCTTAATATCCAAAACTGAAACTGGAAAGAGTTTCAGTTGTTTCCCGATTTTTTTTTTGAACCCTGCATGACAAGAGACAATGAAGACTGTCCCTTCTCTCCACCAATGGTGGGGTCCACTTATCTCAAGAGTAACAGCTCAAAAGGAGGTCTAAGTTGTACTAGCTAATGTGCCCAATCTAAAGCGCTCACCCAGTTTTCCCAATGTTCATTAAAAAAGCAACAATCCTGCATAAAAAGAACACTGTTGAGGAGGAAGATACACCACAGTGCTCTAAGCTTTCTAGCTGGCGTAAACTAGAACCAGGTTATTTTACCTTCTGACACAGTTCATCCTTCCTTAAACCTGGCCTGTCTGTCCAAGGTTTCAAACCAAGTCTGCTATGCATGCAAATATGACAGCAGGCTTCATGCAAGGCAACTTGGGTACTGTATGACCAACCCAAGTCCTTTACCACACAGATGTAACTAACTGATTTAGTATCAGTATAGATAGATCTACCTATCCCAGCTTGCTTCACAGTCTGCTATATTACCTGTACTAATGGGGATATGTAGAAGCTGGCTCCGCACAAACCGATTGTCATATTACATCTGTTTGTCTGTTATAAAAGACTCCTGTGGCTCCCAATAATGAAAAATTGACTGTATACATGAAACAGTTCTGAAGCAGCATAAACGTTTGTCAGAGATTAGCATTTCAAGTAATTAGAAGCAGAGCTGCTGCTTGTTATGTATGTGAAATAAGACCACATAGTCAAAATGCAACAAAGGCTCTCATGAATTCATTTTATACTGATCACAGTAAATGATCAGTATAAAAAGCATCAGACAGGCAGCTCATTTATTAAGTATACTTTGACCATATTAGTGACTGGTTTAAAAGACTGTAATGGCAATCTAGAGTTAAATTTATTTGATTTTTTTTTATTGTCAGGGCTAATGTGCAAGTCATATACGTACACGCTGATCTACAGCCCCACGAACCTCAAGACATCTTCATTTTTCATGCACACCAATATATGGTGAAACAACAGTATTATTCTGCATCAGTTTAGCAATGACATCTGCACTTACATAGACCATTTCAGCTAAGGATTTGAAAACAGTTCACAAAAGATTGAAAAATCAATAGCTCAATACCTGTGTAACGTAAAACATAAGTTACAGCCATTTAAATAAGAAATAAAATCAGCAACTTTTTTTCAGCAAATAAATTAAGTTGCACTCTTGAAATATCAATTCACACAAATCATCCAAAGGTGATCTGCAAAGACAGCCATCCCTCCCATTTAATCTTCAGGGAATACAGTCAACTAATTACTATATAGTCCAATCACTGGACTGAAAGCAAACAAAAACACCATACTGCTAAAAGCAAAAGGCTTCACTTACCTTTCTCTCCATCTGAAATAAGATCTCTTTCTCCCTTTTGAACAACTGTCAGATTTCCCATGGCTTGGCTGAGTCTTAATACACATCCATGATGATCACTACTGTCTACGGGGTCTCTAAGCTACAACAGAAGAATTTCATACACAGTACATATTTTACTACTAGAACAACATATTCTAACACCTGCTACTTCACCGTATGTATGGGGGAAGAAACAAAAAGCAGCACCATCAGTCTTTCCAGGTATTTTTTTTCCTATACCCACTGCAGTGCCAAAAACTGTGTAAGAGTCTTCTTTAAAAGATCTTTGTTTAAGAATATGCATAAAATCCTGGAGAATGTTTATTCTGCATATAAGAAACAGCACATAATGTTTACACCAGTAGTAAGTTGTTTATTTTTAAAGACTAAAAGACTGAACTTGCATGTACTTAAATACAAAACAGGAAAACAGCTCACCATGGCTTCATACAGTCTACTAAACTCCATGTAGTTTGGAGTAAGAATAGCTCGCTGGTAGCCTTGAATTAGGGAAGGCTGCTGGGAAATGAGCCACAGTCCATCCTGCAAAGACCAGTAAGAACATTTACTTAATAGATTCTTAAATGTCAAATCACTGACTGAACCGAGAAAATACTTACAGCATCAATAATGATAGGAATTCCTTTCACTTTTGATTTTTCTATAATACCCTGTAAAAAATGCAGACAACTTTAAGATGCTTGCTAATTTAAAACTTATAAAATTCAAACCAAATTCATATAATAAATCTGATCATGCAAGTTGTTTTTACAAAGCAAAATTGAAAACAATCAGTTATATTCTGCAAACTAATGTAAAACATCCTCAGATCAACTGGTAATTTTACAACTACATCGTTCTCTCCCTGGTTCAAGTATAAGCAGTGTCAAGAAGGGTTCCATAATTGATGCCTTGGTGTTGCTATGCAAACAAGCAAGGGATCTCACTCACTCTCCCTGCTGCAGGAGGCATGTAAGGCCAACATCAGTCACACATAGTAAACATACATCTCCAATTAAAAAAATAAAATAATAATAAAAAAAATTAATAAATCCAGGTGAGTATTGCCATGATATAAATCTACAAATAACTGTAATACTAATTTCAGTTCCTTTTCTGATAGTAGCCCCATTGCAGTATTTGAGTGCATGGACAAACAAACATCCTGAGACAAGTAGTACATAAGACATGTCATTTCACTCATGGTCCTGGAGGTTTTATACTTTCAGAGCAAAACCAAGGTGGCCCAGACAACAGACCATTTGCAGAGCATTTTTTTTCAGCAAGCAGCACCTACTAGCAGACTCTCTGCCCTTTCTCTGTTCTCTCTCTCCTAACCAAGCAGTGGCAACAACTGATACTCAAGTTTTTTTTAATGAGCAGTGGCTGACAGTCAAGTTTTTTGAATGTTGGTCATTATCAACTTGTCTTTGAAGCTGGAGAGTTTATCTTTTTCCTGCAGAAGATAACAGAGGATGGTATCCATCCAAAAGTCTAATTAGTTTTGAATGTTATTAAGCTCTTCAGATTAGCTGTCATATGGCACTGAGCTCCACAGGTTAGCAATTATGTAAGGAACAAGGAAGCAGTTTTTAATGAATGCTCAGGGTATTGAACATCCCTCTGTTCTTGTATTGTGGTCAAAATAAACACTGCCCCCCTTGCTTCCTGCAAATCACTGATTATGGAATATACATATCCTCACAAACTCACTCCTACTTAATTCTGATTTTTCCAATACTGGTAGAAATCTTTCTCTTCTATTTTTAAATGGATGACCAGTAGCTAGCAGTCTGCTTCAACCTAACACTACTTTTGTTTGTTTGGGCACTGTTCGCATGTTGGAAGCATGAGACTGATATACTACCTGCTGCTCCAAGCTTGAGGACTTGTCTCAACACACAGCTGCAGCTACATTAGAAGCTACTACACAATAAAACCTTTTCCATGACACACACACGCTCCTGCACAAGCCTCAGCTTGAGCTGTGTGTCACAGACTGCCTACCCTCCTTGGGATCCCAAGGGAAAACCACAAGTCTTCTCTTACACCCTCCTCCCTGGATAATTCTGAACCAATCACAGATTTTGCACAACTCATGCTATTCAACTGCTACTAAATTATTCAAGTTTTTAAGTATAGTAAGTATATTTAACAGCTGTGCAAGGATGGAATCTTAAAGCATACCTAGAATTAGTTGTGGCCTTACTTTCAAAGCTTTTAAGAAATTTATGAGACAGAGTCATTTCTTTATTCATTAAGTTTAATCTGCACAGATGTGCATAGCTCAGTTTTTCTTCACAGAAGCTGTACTGCTTTGCCCCTGCTGTGTTAAGTTCATTAACAATTATGTTTAATTTGACTCGCTTGGTTATAATAAAATAAGGCTGCTGATCTAGCAACCAGGTTTATGGTTTGTTGTTTTTTGTATAAATGAATGTTATACATCCAACAGCCCAATTATTTTTGAACCACACTAAGTTCTTCTGATTAGCTATCGTATTGCTATCTACTGAGCCCCAGAGGTTAACAAGATACTGTGTGAGAAAGCATTCAGATCATTCTCCCCCAATTTTTGAAGATACAAATACCATTTACTGCAACCTCATTTCCTAACTGGTTTTAATTAGAATATTTTTGTACATAAGCAGCTTCACCAAACTCCTTCAGTACTTAAAATGATTGCTGCTCCACTTCCCACTAAAATGAATCACCAGTTTATTCTAGTATGTCAAGTTTAGTAAACGAGTCTTTCATGACACTTCATCTTTTAAAGCCATCAAAGATTTCCCCAACAGATTCCTTAAGGAAATCTGAAGGAAGACACAGAATCACAGAAGTCCTTACCCTTTCAAACCAGCCTCTTAAATGTATTATGAGCAACCCAGGGAACTTCTGTTCCTGAAACAGTTAAAGTTTGGCTGTTGCTGTTACTGTTTGACACCTTTTCATGTTTCCTCATAATTATCATCTTGACTACTGGCTAGAATTTCACTTTTTGTCTGTATATATCTTACAACAGGCTAAATTGAGAATCCTGAAGATCCATTATCCTCCAAAAGGATGTAAGTATAAGAAAAAAAA